CAGCAGTGCCATCCACGATCGCCAACCGCCACCACGACGACAGTAGCCACCAGCATCAACAGTAGCACCACCGCCACTAACCCCGCCGCCATAGCCACCACCACCACTCCTGGCACAACTACCACCACCAAGATCAATCATGCTAATCATACTCATCATCTTTCTCATGAGGTCTGCATGCACCACCAGCGTTCTTACTCAGAGCTTCTCTCCAGCGTAGTCACCGTCGCGGTGGTCCTGACCATAATCATCGTCAGCACCCTGATATCTCCTCATCAGCATTACCACAATCATCGCAATGGACATCTTCATCGCATTCCACATGTGACGATCAGTGTGGTTTACCACATGACTAACTTTCACCATGATTCAGTCATCGCGTTGCCAAGGCATTCGCAAAGTCTTCATCGTCAAGAATGAGAACCATCGTCACCATCGTCATCGTCATCATCACCACCACAGCCAACATGACCACCAGCATCATGATTAGGTTCATTTTGATCACTGTCAGCTTCATCCGCATGAGTTTGTTCGTCAGACGCATCAACACCGCAGCCGGTACCTACACTAGCACAAGCGCAAGACCTCCGCCACATCGCCAGCATCACTCATCGGACATGCCGATCAAACACAACATCAGAGTGATCGTGTGAAAACGTCAATAGTTGTAGTCGGCCCTCACTTGATCGCCTGAGCCCCAAACCCTTAAACTTAACCTAAACCCCTAAACCATCCTAAACCTTAGACCCTAAAGATTAAATCTTAAACCCTAAACCCCTGAACCCGTAAACCCCTAACCTTCGACCCTGAACCATAAATCTTAAACCCTAAACCTCTGAACCCCAAAACCTTTAACCTTGGACCCTAAACCCTAAACCCCTAAACCCCTGACCCTTAAGCCCTAAATCCTACACCCCCTGACACAAGCAATAGATGATGGACCGACCAACTTGGAAAAGGCTAAAGGCATCCTTCCTGGTGATCAGCAATCGGTCTTTCGTGCAGAACTTTATGCTGTCAACGTTGCCACCTCTATTGCCCCCAACTGTCATATTTATTGCGATAACTCTGCTGTGGTGACAACTGTAGGGAACTTGCTGGCAAATGGATTTCGAAAGAAGGATTACCGGATTCTACCTTGCCGGAATTGCTCAGAGACTCCAATATCCCTTAATTAAGGAATATACCTTAAATTATAGTAGGATCCTTAGTATGATTTAAGGAATATTCCCCAATTAAGGGGTATTGGAGTCTCTGGGAATTGCCTAAACCCCCAAGCCCGGAGCCCGGCCCCGGCCCCTGCAGGAGCCGGAGCTTGTTGTGCGCGAGCTTGTCCACTCTTTCAACCTGCCGCACGTCCAGCGGGAGGCGCTTCTTTTTGGGGTTTGGGGTTCAGGGCTCAAGGGTTTAGGAGGCACCTGGCTGCTTCCTTTGGGGTGTAGAGTTTTGAGTTTAAGGGTTTCGAGGGGGGGTTAGGGTTTGGGGTTTAAGGGTTTTAGGGTTTTTTAGGGGTTTTGAGTTCAGAGTGTGGGTCTTCATGTCCAGAGGGAGCCGCTGATTTTGACCATAGGGACTATATTCACCTAAAGTATAATATACCCCAGAGCCCTATTCTAAAAGCCTCTATGAGGGTTTAGGGCTCAGGGTCCTCGTGCAAAAAGATGTGCATTGACGAGCCGGTTTAGGATTCAGGGTTTACTTGGAGCCGAAAAACCAACCTTTCTGCCTTTCTGGCTTTCCTTCTTATGAGTTGCGTTAATAATTCCTCAACAGGGTATGTTTTAGGGCCATGGGTAGGTAGGGTGTACGAGCTCAAAGGCAATGTGTCTGAAGGCTTGATATGATGCGTTTGGTAGGTTGCGGTGCTGGGTTTCCATGCCGGCGATCCAGTGGTTGTTTAGGGTTTAGGATACCACTGTGCACCGACCTTTTAAGTTCCCTTCATCACTTAACTCATCCTGGCTAGTGAGCTGCAGTGCGCTGTGCCAAAGACACGTTGGTCTGTGACCGTGGCATCCCCTCCCAAACCGTGCCGTGAGAACCGCACACAGCCGTCGAAAGAACGAGAATCACTTCCAATTCTTAGCGAGGGCAGCACAACATGATTCCTGACACTTAACTTGAGGCTGGCTCTAGATAAGGAGTGGGTCGTTGCCATTGTGACAAGCTACGAAGGGCGAATCTTTCCGAAAGCAGCTCTGGGAAGGCTAACGTTTGTAGGGCTTCGGGTAAGCTCAGACAACGACTTGCACTTGTAGAACAGAAGTCCGCAGCGGCAGACACGGTTTAAGGTTTAGGGTTTGGGGTTTAGGGTTTTAGGGTTTAGGGTTTAGGGTTTAGGGTACTCTCAAAAATACGGATGTGTCCTGGCGTCCTATGGTTTGGTCACCAACCGCGTCGGTCAGAGCAGGTGAGGCTCACAAGAGCCACACCGGCCCCGCAAACGCCAAAACTCGAGTTCCTAAAGCACAGATCCGAAGTTGGATACCAAAAGCCGTAAACCCAGAACCCAAGAATCCTAAACCCCACAACCCGAAACCCCAGACCTTCAACTCTAAACCCCCAATCCGGAGCCTCACGAGTGAAGGTGCTCCAGCGCCGTGTTGCGCAGGAGAACCAGCGTTTCTCCGAGGAGCAAAATTGTTTTCATCTTGTAGACTATTAAACATACTGAATCGGGCAAACTAGTACTGCAAAATGAAAATAGTAATGCTCTGCTCTAACAACAATAGCACTAAAGAACAATAACAACAACAGTACTAGACGAGTAATAACAACAATAATGGTAGTAAGCATAGTCCTAGTATTAATAACAGTAAAGGTCTGGGACTTCGGCTTAATCTGTGATTTTCAGGTGTAGGACTGCGGCTTTCGGATCTTTTCTGATTTCAGTGATTCCTGGGTTCGGGGTTTGGGGGTTTCATGCAGACCCAGGTCTTCCACTCGGCAGTTTCTTCGCATTTTGTGGTCTTTGGTTCTTTATAGAAACTACCCAAGATCAAGGAGGGAGCCTTGATTGTTCTGAAAATAGGTGCCTTAATAATTACCTATACTGTTGGGGGGGGGGGGGGGATTCCTTTCGATATTTACAGTAAAATGGGCCTCAAAACCCTATTCTAATTATTAAGGCCCTTTTTTGGGGTTTCTCGGGATCCTAGAGACAGGGAAAGCTAGAAACAACATGTTCAGAACGGTTGGGATACAGCTTTGGGTTAAAGGTTTAGGGTATTGGCATCGGGGTTTGGGCAGGGCGGTTAGTAAGATTCAGGGTCTCAGGTTAGCAGGCGTGTGTACACTTTTCCTGCTCTTAAGGGGCATTCGCCAGCCAGCAGGGACCTTTTACCTTGCCAACCAAGACAAATCCTCACATGCGCCGACACTACATGCACCGTCAAAACGAAACCTTAAACCATGAAGCCCAAAGCTCCAAACGGTAAAACCCTAAAGAAGCAAATCCTGAAGCCCTAGTTAGTCCTGAACCTTGAAATCCTGATCAACCCCAAAACTCTACAATGCTGCATTCTGAGCTGGTGGTCAAGGTGAAAATATGCCATCTGCTTAGTTCCCTTAGTTAGGGCCTTTCAGAGGCATCTATGCGCATTGACTGCTTGATGTTTTGCGGCCTGTACAGAACAGTTGGGAATCTTATCACTTTGAACCCTGAAAGCGGAGTTTACCCTAGAAAGCTGTTTCGTGCAGGCAGCCCGCGGCGCCCTGGACGAGACGTACAAGAAGGCACACCTGGGTCCAATACGCCTAATGGGCCTAATTCAATGCGAAACCCTATACCACTATAACCTGACTGAGGGTGTAATGTAGGAACCTGATTAAGAAACCCTGGGCCTATAACCCCAAAATAGTGGGATTCATATAAGGCCCAAGGTTTCTTAGCCAGCTTCCTACATTACGCATCGTTGCAACTCGGCTTGGCACTCAGCCCTCGAAGACCTCAACGAAGTACACTGACTGCGTCTACTTGGAGGTTCATGGGTACTTATAAGTAGGGATACAAGTACGGTAACTATACTTATAACCCATATTTAGGGGACTTATAACCCCACTTGTGGTTACCCTAAACCCTAAACCCTATACCCTATAGAACCCTTAAAGGAACCCTATAACCCCACTTATAACTACCCATGAAGCTCCAAGTAGAAGCGGGTCGAGCAAGCAAAGGCCTTCTGTGGGTCGGTCGACGAGCTCTAGGGGTTTAGGATTTAAGACAGCATACATAGGTACTTGGACCCTTGGGGTAAAGGCTTCCTGACAGGGACAGGGCAGAGTGAGTATTGAGGTCTCTTAGCTAGTTTTGCCTCCTAAGGCGCTCAGGCTAGACTTCGTGGCTCGAAGTCTTAGTACTGTGTCTACTTGGAGGTTCATGGGTAGTTATAAGTAGGATCATAAGTAGAGTACCTATAACTGTAGACCATATCAGGGGGACATATAAGCCCCACTTGTAACTACCCATGAACCTCCAAGTACACTTTGCGAAAAGTTCGCAGCCATTTTTGCCAGGTCACGGAGAATGTGAACCCCTCCACATGAGGGCACCGACAAGGCAGGCATTCTCCATGTCACTCGCGGCCACATGTTGCGGCTTTCGGTCCCAAGCGTACCGCAGCAATGATGACCTCCTTTACCCACACAGCGACGATAGCCAGGCTAAGCAAAACTGCTGTTTGTCCCTATGTTGGCTGCGAGGTTTGAGAAATGTTTGTCTTAACAAGGTTACTCCTCAGCTGATGATTACCACTGCTATCGCCAGCAATCGAAAACCCGTGAACTGGTACTGCATGCGTAGACAGAGTAAATGCTACTATCAACACCATTCGCTCTGCAGTCTCTTTTGAGTGCCTCTGTACTGGACTGTTGACTGTCCACCGTTGCTGTTGCATGTGGGGCCCTTGCTTCGTGGGTCTGATGTAGAAGATGTTTGTCCTTGAGTTCAGCTTGGCTCAAAGTTGGCCAGCGCGAACCGGGGGTGGATTCGGAGTCGACAAATGCTCCAAACTCTCGCCATGAAATCCCTCGATGCTTTGCCTGCGCCTTCAGAAGCGCCAACAGCCAGTCCCCGAAGTGTGGCTTCATATGACTTCGACACAGACTCAGACGAGGACCTGGCTCTTGGCGCACTCGAGGCCGAACTTTCAGGGAAAGGGGGCCTCAACCGTGTGCAGGCGGAGTGCGCATTGTTTGTCTACCTATTGAAAGATAACCTCAATGCCGGCGCCACCCCTATCGTCGTCATGTACCTCGCCATCGCCTCTGCGACCACAGGAGCTACGTTGAGCGGCGCTGTAGCTGCCGCCATGATGGGCCTTCTCTACTTGTCGATGTTCCTAAGTAGGCCTTTGGGACAATTTGTATTCTTCTTATGGGCTTAATCGGACCCTATTTACGAATGAACCCAAAACCCTAAACCCTAAACCCTTGAATATGTTTCAGGGGCTTTAAACGGCCAACCTAGGTTCGACCTCGTGAACCAGTGGAGCGGTGTGGAGGAGGACATGGTCGACAAGCCCTGGCGGCCCATCCCACAGGGTTTGATGACGGCTTCCGGGTAAAAAGTTCTGCAACCCAGAGACTCCAATACCCCTTAATTAGGGAATATTCCTTAAATCATATTAAGGATCCTACTATAATTTAAGGTATATTCCAACTTAATTAAGGGATATTGGAGTCTCTGGGAATGCTCGTTCCTGTTTTATGGGCAGGTTGTTAGATAACAGGAGGGACAGACTAAGGGCTCAGATAGGTACATGTTCAGATCTCGTGGAACAGATCCTGAACACTGAGCCCTACATCCAAAAACGCGAAACCGTATTCCCAACACCTTCGCCTCAAGCCATCATCCCTAATCCCCACACACTAAGCCCCAGATCATCTCTAGGCCCTACTTGGAGGTAGTCATTAGTGGGGTTAGAATTGCCGTAACTATGGGTTATAATTCTAGTTACCCTACTTATAACCCTACTTATAACTACCCATGAACCTCCAAGTAGGCGCTGAGTCCTAAAGCCGAACTAACCCTACACCCCAACCATAGACAGACCATTGTCTTCCACAAGATCCTGTTTGAAGCTTCTTCCCTGCGCTGAATGCCAGGTTCGCGGTTGCAAGATTCGTTGTGGAATTGTCGCCATGGCCTGTCTTGCGGCGTCCTACTTTTACTCGTTGGCTCTCCCATGCATGCTGTGCTTTCTTGCAACCTTCGGCTATACAGTTGGTTGGGACAAGAATTTCATTTTTCGGGGGTTCGTTTTCATGCCCATGATCTTCATGATCCACTTTCTCGTTTCGATGCGCTTGGCACTCGGACCGTCTTCTGACAGCAAAGCGCTCTTAAACTGGGCGGTCACATTCGCCGCCTACTACACGGTTCCTTTCTTGCTTCAAGACCTTCGTGACCTCGAGGGTGATGCCAAAGTCGGCCGTCGGACACTTCCAGTTTTGCTGGGGGCCCGAAACTGTCGAGCCACCTTGTTTGTCTTAATTGCTGTGCTATCACCGCCAGGGTTCTATCGACTGCTAGAAGCTCTTTGGGCTCAGCAGGCGTCCCTGGCTTCGGTGTGCACTTTGTGGAATTCCCTCTTCATCATCGCAATTTTGTATATGCTCGCCACCGGCGACTGTGTGAAAGCACACCGCCTGGCGTATAAGCTAGTGGTTTTCATGTATACATTTGGTACAGCCCCATGCCTGTACTTTATCGTGCCCTCCGTTCTGGAGTCGTGAGCAAAGGATGGCGTCTCCGCTGCCGTCGGAGCTCTTTGAAAGGACATGGCTGCATTCAGCTCACCGACAGCTGCCTTGTGTGCGTCGTACAGTACAGAGTTTTGTACGTGCATACTTGGTTTGCAGACCTTCTCCGTGCGTGCCACGAGTGCATCATGGAAAATCATGTCGGCTGCAACTCGTGTGCTTGTTGATCGCCGCGAGTCATTCTACATCCGGATATTCTTGGGATGTGTGTGTGTGTGTGTGTGTGTGTGTGTGTGTTTGGCTAGGCATTGCTTCTGCACAGCATTTCCATGCTGATGATGTCTAACAGCAGAACGTTGGGCTTCAGCTCCGCACATCAGATTCAGGCTGCGAGTGCTTAGACTCCTGATATGCGAGTGTGACCAAGTAAGATCTCAAGACGAGTCGCTAGTCTTCTGGTTGCGCCTGGGAGCGAAGCCATCCTGTGATCTCAAAGTTGCCCCTGCCTTCAGAAGTTTGTAAGCTGTCGGGTGTGTGCGCGTGAGGATTTTTAGGTTGCTTGAGGGGTTGGTAATTGCAGGGTTAAGGTTTTGAAACCTTCTTGGTTGGCTACAGCGATGCTCAAACATTCGACATGTTTGTGTGGCATATGGGGGAGGGACTTTGTTTCAATTGCATACCTGCTTCCAGCTGTCTGCAGGTAGGTGAGCGCTCTCCTGTTTACGACATGACTGTCTGGTTCTTAGTAGGGAATGGGGGCATGGATTGGGGAGACTAGTATTGGGGATTATATAGGGACTACTATAGGGATCCATTCCCCCATTCCCTGCTAAGAACCAGACAGATGACCGGACCCTGAAAACAGGGGGCCGACGGAAGTCTTCAGTGGGGTCTGCCTCTAGCTCTGCTGGGGGATCAGTGGTCGAGGAAGCAATGTTAAACGTTTGCTGTCGTAGTCCTTATATAGTCCCGAAGGTGTGGGTTCCATCGGAAACTGGAAAACTACAAGATTTCCAAAATCAGTCCAGGGTTCTCGAAGGCCCATTTCCAAAAGGCGCACTTAGAGCGGATGCAGGCCGCAACGACTGTTTCTACCCGAGTGTGATTTCACCTCATGGCAATTGTTTCATGGGCGGGCACATGGCGACTTCAAAAGTCGGGATTGCAGTGACAGCCATGAAGCTTTCAACCCTAAGCCCTAAATGAGCCCTAAACCACAACAGCACCGATCACGAGATGCAGCAACCTCTACGCCAGTACCTTTCGCACTTTGTACTCTGGGGTTCGAAGCTCGACCCAACGATGTCTCACGCAGCAACGCACAGGGCTTTGGGGATGTTCCTCAGCCGTGTACAGTTGGTTGCCTCACTGGCCCAGTTCGAATTCACATCAGACGAGCTGGCTGTGCCTGCACACCGAACCACTTGGGGTGCTCAGTATGTAGAATTATAGACATATGTATATATACATATATATACACAGATACATATACATAGACATATACATATGCATGTGCATATGCATACACACATACATACATACGTACGTACAGTGTGCACATTTTATGTCACTCGCATGCAAGACTTGTCATGATGAGTGCTGCTACGACGATGTAGTACACAAGCTGCCCCTACTCGCACTTGTGCCGCTACTCGCACTTGTGGCCTGCAACTGTTCACTGCATGTGACTGCTATAACCCAGCATGCGACGTCTACCTGCAGCAACGCCATCACCTACCAACAAGGAAGGCGTTGCGTCTGCCGCCGCGCGGGGTGTGTCGTTTATGTTTGGGAGGTTTTATGGTCAACAAGTAGAAGGCCCCGTGTTTTGTGTGGTTTTCATCAACAAGACGATGTATCGGGTTTAAAATGTCTGTAGTTCTTTGTCTTGTGATTTTGGTCTGGTTTTTGCGGAAGTGACGCAAATACCATGTTTTCGTGTTTGATTTATGTTGATTTTCAGGCTCATTTTGGAAGTTTTTGTCTGGAAAGCATCAACAACTCGAGGTTTTCTCACGGTGGACGTTTCCAAAGTGAAGCAACAAGAAACGGCAAGCACGGTTTGACAGAGCAACTGGTAGCGTTTGAGAAGTAACGCAACCACAGAAACGGTTGTTGTAAAGGGGGGGTGGTCAAAACAACATACGGGGCTCCAGTTTTTGCCTCTACTACAGGAGGGTAGAGACAAAGTCCTGATTTCGCTGGTGCCTTTGTCTCTACCCCCTGTAGTAGAGGCAAAAACTGGAGCCCCGTCTGTTGTTTTGACCCCCCCCCTTTTACAACAACCACCCAGCCTACACCGCATTTCTATCATGGGGCAGGCATGGCTTGAACTTTCCAAAACTCTACAGGCACCCTATGCGGTCGCCGGAAGCATTCCCAATTGCTTCTAATTAACAACAAGTGCAGGCTGCTGTTTTTGTCTGTACCAACAACAACAACAAGAAGCCACCACCACCATCACCACCAACGCCACCACCACCAGCAGCAGCAGCAGCGCCACCACCTCAACAACATCAACCACAAATTCCCACAGCCACAACAGCAACTACTTCTTCTACTACTTCTCCTACTACTACGACTTCGACTACGACTACAGCGACGACGACTACATTCAGCAACGCGTCTACCAAGAGTAGTAGTGTCAGCAGAAGCTCCTCGGTGCCAGAAGTCTTGCAGGCAAAGTCTCACCACGAGCCCGCTTCAGTCAAACAATTGTGTCTTCAGGGGCTGGAATGCGTTACAACGCGAAGGCCATTGCACTAATTACAGGCGGCATAGTTTGAGTGGTATGTTCATAGTAGCAGGAGGAATAGTAGGAGGAGGAGCAGTGGTAAAAACATCAGTCCGTTTACAGGTACAGGCAAAACTAGCAGAACTACAGAAGCGTCGAACCAAGACCAAGTCGGTCTGAACTCTCGGGGCTTTCTGCATTGGCTTGGGCAGGGTTTCCGGGCGTGAGGGGGTTTAAGGTTTAGGGTTCGACTTAGAGTTCGGAATGTAGTGAGCACGTCTTCGCTGTAGGTTTCAACTCTTTAGGTATCCGCTCTCTTTTGCAACCAATGCCTCAATTCGACTACAGTATCGGGGCCTCTCATGTAGAAGCTTGTGAGTAGTTAGCATTGGGTACTGCCCCTACTCAGTAACAGTTGGATAATGTTCATAATATAGAGATATAAGAACCCTAATAGTAGCCCTTTATAGACTGTTACTGTATGGGGGCCGTACCCAAAGTTAGCAATACTAGTTCTGCAGGTTGTTTAATTTGCTTACAACTTAACTTATACTTTGGTATGCCTAGCAAGACCCCAGTCTAATGATTCGGGCCGCCGCATATTCTACAGGTGGTACAAGAGCCCATAGCCATGAAAAAGTGCAGTGTCAAGGATTTGGTAAGTTGAGTGTCTTTCGAGGATCGCGTAGCGATCTGTCTCCACATGTAGATGGATGTGCAACGGTGAAGTGCGTGATTGAGGGTTTAGGGCTGGGTTTGGAAATGGGATCGAATTGGAAGATGAAATCCTAGACTTTCCTGACGTCTCAATGCTGACTCCTAGACCCAAAGCCGAAACACCACCAAGGAATCGTTAGATAGGTTCGAACCCTTCTGGAGCCATAACCCCCAAACCTTGAAGCACCCCCTCAAGTCAAGCCCAAACCTCGAGACCCCGCACCCCAAACCTTGAACCGAGACTCCAAGATAGAACCCTTGCTAAAGTCCGTCGACACCTATTCAAACAGGACCTCGGACTAAGATACTATAGGGGCCTAAACCATTACCAACATTATTCCTAGGGTTCCGTTGTCACCCTTGTAGACCCCTGTTTTACAGGAACCCTTTAAGGCAAGCCTCGTCTAATCATATGTTTAAGGCCCCTATACTACCTTGGATGGAACAGACGAACTCCGACAAATCTCCCTAAACCCTAATCCCTAAATCCTAAACCCTAAACCCTAAACGGAGGTCCCTCACACAGGCTCACCCTGGTAAGGACTTCCACGTACTCTGCAGGGTCATACCCTACCCCTTTTTTAGGGTATCTAGTTTTATTGTTAGGATCTCCTATATAGAAAAGTAGGAACCTTAAAAAAAGGGGTAGGGTATGAGCCTATAGCTACTCTGCAGGTGGAAAAGGGCCCATAACAAATAAAATAAAACATAACGAATAAATGGAACCAGCGAACTCCGACAGATCCGACTACTAGACTCCCAAACCCTACACCATATTGGGTTTAGGGTTTAGGGTTTAGGGATGTGAAGGCCTCTATATATTGCCTTAGAGGGAAAAAGCCCTATAGAGCCTAAATGGAAGGAACGAACTCCGACAGATCTGACTTTTGCCGAGCCTTGGCTCAAATTTGTTCGGCTCTGCAGCTGAAATTTGCGAGGCTCTCTGTTTGCAATGGCACGGGCCCTGGTGAGTACTATAAGGGCCTGAATGATTAGAATAGGGCTCCTTTAAAGGAGTTACAAGGGCTACGACAAGGGATCTGTAAGGGTACTAGAATGTAAGGGCCTTAATATTTAGAATAGGGTTTGGGGTATGCTATAACAAGAACCCCCAACAAAAACCTATTCTAAATACTAAGGCCCCTATGGCAAAGGTTAGCATTGAGGATTCAGAGTTGTGCAAAGCTGTTAGGGTGTATAGGGGTTTATGGAGCTTGATAGGGGTTCAGAGAGCCCTAGTGAGTGAGGGTTTAGTGTGTAAAGTTAAAGTGCTCAGGGCTTTAGGGTTTGGGTCAGGGTTCAGGGCTGGTGGAGTTTGGCATAGGTAGAAGCAGTAGGATCCCTGTGGTGTTTGAGCCTTCCGGCTTGAAGCAACACTATGTTACAATACATCATTCTACCAGGTTCTACCACACTATATATACACAATATGTATAAATATATATATATATATATATATGTATATATATATATACACATATTTATATACATACATGCATAAAAACATGTGTATATATATATATATATATACACATGTATTGACGTGCGTACATGCGCCGAAGACGGGTTCTATATATATATA